TATGTTTTAGAACAAGCGCAATCGTTCTGCCTTGTGATGAATAGCATCTATTCACTGCGTTATTGGAAAAGACTTGGGCACCAAGATCTCATCTCACCACCTTACTCCTTCCTCCATTATCCCCAGCAGTCCCAATCTGATGCTTTTTTGAACATCACCAGAAACTGGAACAGAGCACCGTTTCGCTAACACTCCCCTTTTCTTCCCACGTTAATCATTCCTCAACATCAGTTCTCTTGTGTACATTTTTAATGAGACCAAAATGTATGCATGAGTGCAACAGAGTGGGACTTGACGAAGCACTTTTGAAAGATTAGGCTTGACAAACAGGTCTGTCATGCCATTGCCGAAGCTTATTTTCTTTTGTACTTTTCTCTCTCTATTCTCTCCATCGCTCTCCACACAGCAGAAGAGAGGGTGAGAGAATGAGCAGTATCAGAATAGGGGGAGATTAGAATCAGAACTGAATTGGGGCCCGAGATTGGTTTGCCGACAGTCAGGAAAATGGAAGATGGAATGGAAACAGAGGGGGTTGTGGGGTGGATGAACAATAGGAGAAGGTCATTGCGCTTATACAGCGGGAAAATGAGGATAGTCAAAACAAAGAAATGGGGCTGTTATTTGCATCTGCCCCTGAATGGCAAAATCTTCAATTTTCCTCTGATAGGCCAAGCTCACTCAGTACGCAGGCTCTGGGTGTTCATCTGTACTTTTTAAGAGGCACATTACTCTCATCTCAAAAGGCTCTGAGGGTTTTGTGTGGTTGTATTCCAGATCATGCATTAAAGCCGCTTGGTTATTATGCAGTTTCCAATTCCATGTCATTAGTTGTCCCCAAGTGAATTTAATGAGAATTTACGGCGGTGTTAGTCAGCCAAAAATAGTCTCACAAAATAATCATCTTTAATGACCCCTAGGACTCATCTACGCTTGAGATATATGTAGATTTTTAATGATGGCTAATACCCAAATACCCTAACACGTAAAACATATATTTTTTGACAGATAATTACCTGAGGTGTACATTTATTTCATTCAATATCATGTCAATATCATAGCATGTGGTACATGCTTGTGCAGTACAAACTGCTAATTTCTAAGGATGGCTTTTTAGTGGGGCTAACAACAAAACAAGAACAAATGTTGTAAAATGCTTTTTGTTTGTATGTATTTACAATATATCACCTGGACTGTGTTTCGCCCTCAAGTGTTTGGTATCAAACTATTCTCAAACTGGGGGTTTCTATTGGTTGTCTGTTGCACTAAGTGTCAAAAACACACTTTTCATAAAACATTAATTTTGTTTTGTCTTAGTTGGTGTGTGAATGCTCACAAAGGGACAACCATCGATTCCACACTAATGCACACTCTTGGTCTTTATTTTCTTGTCTTCCCTTCAGTAGCAAACATTCTGTGGAGAGAGGAAGGTATGTTTGTATTTAAACCATTTCAAATCAAATAAAATTGTATTGGTCGCATACACATATTTAGCAGATGTTATTGCGGGTGTAGCGAAATGCCTGTGTTCCTAGCTCCAGCAGTGCAGTAATATCTAACAATTCACGACAATACACACATATCTAAAAGTTAAATAATGGAATTAAGAAATGTATAAATATTAGGATGAGCAATGTATAAATATATATATTTATCTGGAGTACAAATACATATACAGTACCAATCAAACGTTTGGACATACCTATTCATTCCAGGGTTTTTCTTTAATTTTTTAAACTATTTTCTACATTGTAGAATAATAGTGAAGACATCAAAACTATGAAATAACACATATGGAATCATGTAGTAACCAAAAAAGTGTTAAACAAATCAAAATATGTTTTATATTTGAGATTCTTTGAGTTTTTGCAAACCCTTTGCATTGATGACAGCTTTGCACACTCTTGGCATTCTCTCAAACCAGCTTCATGAGGTAGTCACCTGGAATGCATTTCAATTAACAAGTGTGCTTTCTTGAACGTAAATTTGTGGAATTTCTTTCCTTATTAATGCGTTTGAGCCAAGTTCAGGGCTAAGTTCAGGGCAGGGTACTGGATGGAGGCCAGTGATGGCTATTTAACAGTCTGTTGGCCTTGAGATAGAAGCTGTTTTCAGTGTCTCAGTCCCAGCTTTGATGCACCTGTACTGACCTCGCCTTCTGGATGATAACGGGGTGAACAGGCCGTGGCTCAGGTGGTTGATGTCCATTGAAGATCTTTTTGGCCTTCCTGTGACATCGGGTGCTGTAGGTGTCCTGGAGGGCAGGCAGTGTGCCCCCGGTGATGCGTTGGGCGGACCACACCACCCTCTGGAGAGCCCTGTGGTTGTGGGCGGTGCAGTTGCCATACCAGGCGGTGATACAGCCAGACAGGATGCTCTCAATGGTGCATCTGTAAAAGTTTGGGAGGGTCTTAGGGGCCAAGATGAATTTCTTCAGCCTCTTGAGGTTGAAGAGGCGCTGTTGCGCCTTCCTCACCACACTGTCTGTGTCGGTGGATCATTTCAGATTGTCAGTGATGTGTATGTCGAGGAACTTGAAGCTTTTCACCTTCTCCACTGCGGCCCCGTCAATGTGGATGGGGGCGTGCTCCATCTGCTGTCTCCTGAAGTCCACAATCAGCTCCTTCATTTTGTTGACGTTGAGAGAGAGGTTATTTTCCAGGCACCACTCTGCCAGGGCCCTCACCTCCTCCCTGTAGGCAGTCTCGTCATTGTTGGTAATCAGGCCCACTGCTGTTGTGTCATCTGCAAACTTGATGATTGAGTTGGAGGCGTGCGTGGCCACGCAGTCATGGGTGAACAGGTAGTACAGAAGGGGGCTGAGCACACACCCTTGTGGGGCCCCTGTGTTGAGGATCAGTGTGGTGGAGGTGTTGTTTTCTACCTTCACTACCTGGGGGCAGCACATTAGGAAGTCCAGGACCAGTTCCACAGGGCAGAGTTCAGACTCAGAGCTCTGAGCTTAATGAACAGTGTATTACTATAACATGTTATAAAGTAGATTAAATTACATTGATTGACACAAATTCCATGGACATGTCAAGCTGTCCTAATATAGACACTGTACATGAGTTTCTATAATGACAGTGTCTAACGAACAGTGTTGGGGGGTAGTTCCACTACATGTAATTCAACTAGTAATTTAACTACATTTTGTAGTAGCTTAGTGGTAGTTTAACTGAATTCAAATCTTAGTTACTTTTACTATTATTATTTTTTGCCATGTTAGTGGTGTAGCTAACTACTGGAATTACCCACTAAAGTTTTTGCAAGCCCAAAAATACGACCCCCTATTTATTTTCTCTCCCTGACCACTGGGCTAAGCTGACATAGTCTCTAGCTGTCATGCAGTTCTTACAGTCATGTTTCTTAACTTTGTATTATATGACACTTCAGATTATTATTTTTACAAGGTAGTTTTGAGGTACTACTTTTTCAAAATCTCTTTTTTTAAAGTATATTTCTCTTACGGGTAGCTTTACTGTAGCTCAACTTCTTCCAGTGTAAAGTAATTGGTAGCTTGTAACAATATGTCATTTTTCCAGTTATATTGAACTAGCTAATTACCTCCACTGTTAAGTTTTAACTTACTTATTTTTTTAAGTAAAAATACTTTAAAGTACTACTTAAGTAGTTTTTATATGTGTCTGTACTTTACTTTACTATTTATATTTTTGCCCACTTTTACTTCACTACATTCCTAAAGAAAATAATGTACTTTTTACTCCATACATTTTCCCTGACACCCAAAAGTACTTGTTACATTTTGACAGGAAAATGCTCCAATTCACACACGTATCAAGAGAACATCCCTGGTCATCTCTACTGTGTCTGACTCACTAAACACAAATGCTTTGTTTGTAAATTACGAGTGTTGGCGTGTGCCCCTGGCTATCCGTAAATAAAATAAAACAAGAAAATTGTGCCGTCTGGTTTGCTTAATATAAGGAATTTGAAATGATTTATACTTTTACTTTTGATACTTAAGTATATTTTATCAATTACATTTATTTTTGATACTTAAGTATATTTCAAACCAAATACTTTTAGAGTTTTACTCAAGTATACTGAAAAAATATATAAATTCAACATGTGACAGTTTCAACTATTTTACTGAGTTACAGTTCATATAAGGAAACCAGTCAATTGAAATTAATTAATTAGGCCCTAATCTATGGATTTCACATGACTGGGTAGGGGCCCACCCACTGGGGAGCCAGGTCCAGCCAATCAGAATGAGTTTTTATTACAAACAGAAATACTCCTCAGTTTCATCAGGGTGGCTGGTCTCAGACGATCCTGCAGGTGAAGAAGCCGGATGTGGATGTCCTGGGCTGGCGTGGTTACACATGGTCTGCGGTTGTGAGACCAGTTGGACGTACTGCTAAATTCTCTAAAACGATGTTGGAGGTGGCTTATGGTAGAGAAATAAACATGAAAATCTCTGGCAACAGCTCTGGTGGACATTCCTATAATCAGCATGCCAATTGCATGCTCCCTCAAAACTTGAGACATCTGTGGCATTGTGTTATATGACAAAACTGCACATTTTAGTGGCCTTTTATTGTCCCAAGCACAAGGTGCACCTGTGTAATGATCATGCTGTTTAATCAGCTTCTTGATATGCCACACCTGTCAGGTGGCTGGATTATCTTGGCAAAGGAGAAATGCTCATTAATAGGGATGTAAACGAATTTATGCACACCATTTGAGAGAAATAAACTTTTTGTGCATAAGGAACATTTCTGGAATATTTTATTTCAGCTCATGAAACATGGGACCAACACTTTACATGTTGGATTTATATTTTTGTTCAGTATAGTATTTTACTGGGTGACTTTCACTTGAGTCATTTTCTATTAAGGTATCTTTACTTAAGTATGACAATTGAGTTATTTTTCCACCACTGGTTTTAACTGTGCTGTGCGTCATCCAGTAGTTTGTTGTTCACCTTGTAACAAACCCAGTGTCTGACTTGTAACAAGGTTGTATTTCTCACCCAGGTCTTGGAATTGCCAATATGTTCTATGTGTTTTACGAGGATGGTATCAAAGTCATCCAGCCAGTGGCATGTGAGATCCAGAGACACATAAAGCCCAGCGAGAAACTACTGGGACTTCAGGTAAGACGCTTTACACAACAGAAACACTTCGATTTCATATAGCATTGTGCTAGGTGTTGGGTTACTGCTAGTAGATTAGCTGTTCGCTAATTAGCATGATTAGCTTGGGGACCAATCACCCACAGTATGATTCCTTTTGGCTTTCTAACAGAAACACTTTTTCTTCATGTAGCATTGTGCTCGGTATAGAAGTCTATCTTAACAAATTAGCTCTTGCTAGCTGTTAGCTAAACAGTGTTTGTATAATTCGCTTAGGACCGACCAACTTCAGAGGCTTTGATAATTATCAACTCTTTGATTGTATTTGTTTATTTGATCTTGCTAACCTGCCACATAATATTTCATACAGTGGAAGTAGTTGCATCTCATAACAAATAGGCAGGGGCGTACCGCAGTTTCTACACATTTTGCTATGGGGCAAAGAGAAACATTTATCCAGCAATTCTACATATATTGCCTTGGGGCAGAGAGAAAAATTTGCAGTTTTAAAGCTAATATCCAGCAATTCTATATGTATTGCCATGGGGCAGAGAGAAAAATGTGCTGTTTTATAGCTAATCTCCTGCTATTCTACACATTTTGCAATAAGGCTGAGGGGAGTGGGGGTCTCTAGGCCCCCCCACCTTTTTTTTATTTAACCTTTATTTAACTAGGCAAGTCAGTTAAGAACAAATCCTAATTTACAATGATGGCTTACACCGGCCAAACCCGGACAACACTGGGCCAATTGTGCGCCGCCCTATGGGACTCCCAATCACGGCCAGTTGTGATACAGCCTGGAATCGAACCAGGGGGTCTGTAGTGACGCCTCAAGCACTGAGATGCAGTGCCTTAGACCGCCGCGCCACTCGGGAGCCCACCTTGCGGAGGCTGCGGGGGTGTGTGGTAGGCCAGTGGGCTGTGGGGGTGTGTGGTACAAATAGGGAGTTAATTGTCTCTGCGTGTCGCTCTGCTCATGTATTTGATTAACTGAAAGATCATGCACTTTTGCACTCCCAAAAGTCTCTCTCTCTCCATCTCGTCAGGCTCCTTGTTGAATTGCCATTTGAAGTTGAAATGGTTCTCACTCTCTGCTGCGCAATCCCTTTTGAACCAGTGTATTATTCAAAGCAGGTCGCTGATAGATGCCTCTTACATTTACACATGTACTCAAATGGGTGCTTTCCTCCTTTTCCCCTTTCATCGATTGGACAGCTGTTATGTGCGATGGCGTGCCATGAATGCACAACGATCAGGCCCGGGCTCCTCGGAGAGATGGTGTCTGTATTAGAATATCAATCACGGTGAACTCTATGGCAGCAGCAAATGCACTGTCTACAGGGAATGTTGTGTGAGTACATTAGCTCAGAGGCTTAAGTTCAGTCTGGAAATGGCGCTCACGTCTTACGTTCTTCATCCCCAGTGTAGATGAGCATTGATTGATCGTTCATGGTAACGACCCAACAATTAATTTTCTTAACTAGCATATGAGCATCTTACTGTGATAAAGTGCCAGATGAAGAGGGGATGCAATGCTGTTAGGAATTCCTAGTACAATGAGTAGGGAGGCGGGCATATTTCCAGAGGCAGGAAGCAAGGGGCGCTACAGAACATGTTTTTTTAGGTTGGTTTGTGTTTGTTGTGTCCAAGGCTAAGGACTAGTCTTACTTGTACCACAAAATCAAATATGATCTACAAAGCACAAATTGTCCTCAGGCAGCTTGTTCGCCTGCCAAGCTTCAAATTATGTTTTCTATTCTTCTAAAGCTTTCCATTCGATCCAAGGACAATGTTGGTGGAACTGACAAGTTCTTCTTCTGCTTAGCTGCCTAGAGTTTCACACATGCTCAGTTGCGACATACTGCAGTGTTGTCTACAGGAGGGTAGAGGTCTACAGGAGGGTAGAGGTCTCCAGATGGATTCTGATTTGATAGTGGCAGAAATTAGAAATCTGATTAAATCCCCGAGGTTTTAATAGTTTTGCTCACAAACATGTCCATGAAAATGGATATTCATTTATCTTGTTGACTGCCAAGTCTGTGATTGAAAGTAAATGGTCTAACAGTTACATTTGTCATCTGATTACATAAACATGAGCACCCACGTGAACATAAGCACTTGAACTAAGACCTACTGTATGTGTAGTATTGGCATGGTATATTGGCAAATCAACACGACACCATCTTCGCCTCGTTCTGAAAGTCATCCTCTCTGCCCAGTAGTACCCACACACAAACCAACGGCCACACACACATACACACACACACACACACACACACACACACACACACACAAACTCCGCCATTCAAACTCTCTGCTGGACATCAAATCTTGGGTTTAGCGAGGGGATTGGGCCCGTGGCGGTGTGGCGATGTGTGACACCTGTCAGAGAAACCCCCCTCTGTGACAGTAGGATGCGACTGCGTGAGACAGAGTTCATCCTTCTAACGCCATGGCCCAATTCGGGCCATGAGGCCTCAAACAAATCCTCCCACAGCCCAGAACAGAGATCAGACGCTGGGGCTGAGCCGAGCTCACAGGCCACGGGAGGGGACAGGGAGGGGATACAGGGACAGAGCAGGGGATAGAAGAAGAGAGCCTGCACAGCTGAGTCCACACGTGCACAGCATGCCAATTTTAGCCAGGTTGAGGGGGGTGGATATAGGGACAGTGGTGGCTTGCACACAGGCGATAGGGAGATTGGAGATGTTGGTTCTTGCATAACATACCAGAACACAGCAAACCGTGTGTGTGTGTATTGCTGTTGTGACGAGAGGCTTGGACTTGGGGATGGCTGATAAAATAATTTACATTTTAGTAATTTAGCAGACGCTCTTATCCAGCGCTTCAGGGGGACTCTGCTGTCCTAGCTTCAGGGGGACTCTGCTGTCCTAGCTTCAGGGGGATGAAAGAAGATAAAGAACTTGTTTTTTAATGTGTGATTTTTATCAATGTTGCATGATACATGTACAGTATTAACTGTTTGTGGGTGTGTGTGTTTGTTTGTTTTTTATTTTCAGGCTGAGGTTTGCCCCAAGTCAGCGGGGGAGGCCGAGCAGAAGTGTGTGTGGTCATCGGCGGTCAACGTGAAGGACACGTTTATTTATGTTACACAGCCAACCTTGGCCAGGGTGCTTGTGGTCGACATCACATCTCAGAAGGCTGTCCAGGTAATTTCGGCCCCGAAAGTGTAATAATCAACATCACCTTCCTCTTTGGACAGGTTCTGTTGTGGAGTGTTTTGCAGTAAACACAATAACAACCAAATACGGCATCCATATTAGGAAGTCCCTTAGTTGTCAAACGAAACAACAATTGGCTACAAAGCAATGGCTGTAATGTTGTCTTGTTATAAAAATGTGTTATTGTGCCTTTTTCATATCTGCACCTATTCTACTCACTCCAATTTGTCAATTTCCATGGAAGCCTTGAGTCGAAAGGACCTTGAATATGTGTTTCACACTTTCAATGCAAATGTGTTTTTCTGTTGTTTTTTTTACCCAGGAACCATTTATAAAGCAAATGTTGAACAAATGATGAAGTTGATGTGTCAGAGAGGGTTACACTATTCACAACAACTGACAATAATGTAGCACAAGCTCTAGCTATTCAAGGGGAAGGACACAGCCTTTTTCACAAAGCTTCAGTTGAGTCAGAATTCATTTTGATACAAATGCACTGTCCTTCATCCAGGAACTCAGTTACTTAATGTGATAAAGATTTGAGTTTCATTGTTTGAATGTCCTTTCCTTAACCTGACCAAAATATGTGTCTTTTTTAAAATTCTAAAACCAGTGAAAGCTGGTGCCAGTGCTCAATTGACGTCCTTTTTAAAAGTAACTTTGTCCTTTTACAACTAGTATAGTTGGTGTAGTGTAGGGTAAACCCACATAAAGGCTGTTTAAACACCTATTGTGGAAAAATGCATTGAAAATATAGGGAGTGTTACTTTATTCACTTTAAACGGTGATCAACGTTTACCCACCTATTGTTTTACCTCTACGTCACTGCTGACCATGAAGTCACAACAACAAAAAATGTCAGCCTGACATTGCAGTTTTGCCTGATGGGAATGGTTATGATGAACGAAAACGATCCAATGTTCTTACAGTAGGAGGGTGCCTTAAGCAGGTTGTCTATGTTCCGTCTTAAAAAGGTGTGTGTCTCGGAGTAAAAGGACTCTGCAGGGGGACCAGAAGGTGCCCAATTTCTGCTGCAGGAAGACTCCCCAGGGCCCACCGGTAGTCAGGTTGTTGTGCTGGTGACCACCACAGGCTTGTTATTGGGTCACGTGGAGGTTTGGCTTCATTACTTTAGATGAGCTAACACTAATTAGCCACCTGATCCTCGCTCAGCTCTTCCAAGGAAAGAAAAATGGCGGTGTCTCCATTTGTTACTCACTTTCTCTATTCACTTTGAAAATGTAGTTGTACTTTAAATTGACTGGCTAGGTGTAGCTTTAAATTAACTTACTAGGTATAGCTTTAAATTGACTGGCTAGGTGTCTCTTTAAATAGTGCGGTGAGAAATGTCCTACATATCATAGTTGGTACCACTGTATTGTATGCATTATACGTAAACTTTTATAAAGTTGTATTTATTTCAATAAAAAATCACTGTACTGGATTTATTCTGTCTAATTCATAGCATAGCCACTATCACAGACAGAGAGTAGGTACATGTGATTATGGATTGAGTAACACTCCTCCAGAGGCAGGAGGGGAGGAGAACAACACCTGTTCCCTCTGACCATACCCTCAGAGATTAGCTAGGACTCAACACGTCTCTCTCATATCTCCTCGTATGATAAATCCCCTCACGACGTGTTTACTCTCACTGTAATACCATACGCTTTACCATGAAGCAGCCAGTTAAAATGCTCCATTAGGATTTTACAGTAGACAAAACATGACATTACGGGAAGGACAAAAATACTACTTCACCATTTAGCTAGTTTTTTGTGTCTGCTCAAATTTCCTAGAAAGAATGACCATTAATGCTTTTTGCACCAAACTAGCATTGTTGTTTTTCTCTCTATTCTCATCGTGTGTTGGCTAATGTCAATCTGCACCTGAGTGGACATAATGCACGAGAGCCACTCGGCTGCCACAGACATGTCTCATCCGTCGGAACCGACTGGAACACATCATAGGCAGGTGTCAAGGAATGGACACGGATTGAAAGCGATTTCTTTGTTGTTGTAGAGCAATTGCCACTGTTACTGCTCAATTTGAAATGCTGCTCCACCTCCAAACACCTCATACATAAAAAAGGCGAGCCTCCCCTCTGTCTTGTTAAAAATAAAAACTTGATTCTTCCTGTCAAATCCAATGCATTAGCAAGCGAGGAAAGTTTTGATATGCGCTGTACTGACTGTCAAAGTGTATATCTGTTCAAAAACAGTGTTGAATTGTCCTGAGTTGCTCTTAAGTGCAGTCATGGCTTCAAATAGTTGCACTTGTGTCAAGCTGTGCCTGATTGAGCTCTCCTGGCATGATGAAACCAATGCAAAAGTCCCAAAAGTCCACCTGGCACTCCAGAAAGGCAAAAGCGTGATGAGACTAGTTAAGTGCAGTGCTATCTATATGAGGTTTGTTCTTGTGTGTGCTTTCAGACGGTGAGCACTGACCCCTACCCAGTGAAGCTGCACTATGACAAATCCCACGACCAGGTGTGGGTCCTCAGCTGGGGAGACATGGAGAGGAACTTCCCCACTCTGCAGGTAACTGTTTGATATTACAATACATAGAGGAGTGTCATGTGTTGGTTTTGATACCTTCTTGATGCTAAAGTGGGCCTATATATGTCAAATACTATAATGTTTAGTGTAACTCACTGTTTATTGACAATACATCTATTTGTTGTGAGAAGGCGTAAAAACATTGTGATGTGACATTTTCAGAACACTTACAATTGATGTGCCTTCTTATAATTACTATTCTTCCAATGGGACACATTCTCAACTGTCAATCCAAGTTTTGTCAACAGCCCTTTCCCAGATAGCACAGTTCTAGGTGGCATTTTCTGTTTGCAGCTCAATACAAGTTATTAGCCTGCACTGCTGCTGGGTTGTTAGGAGGTGCCAGTCTCTCTAGTGCATTGTGGCATAATTAAGACACACACATACACAGGGCTTCTCCTCCCAGTGTGAGTTTGTGTCAGAGGAGATACAGGAGGCAAACACAGTGAATAATTCATGGAGCTCATGTTAAATATCTCCCCCATCTTCTCCTCCTTTCCCCTCCCTCACCTGTCTCCTGGTGTGGTGCTAGGTGATCAATCAGGCCAGCGGGAGTGTGTCCCACCATACAGTCCACACCCAGCCGGTCGGCAGACGCTTTGATAGGGTGGATGATTTCTTCATTCCCGCTGCTAGCCTCATCATTAATCACATCAGGTATGTCAGTGTCGGTGCGTGTGTGAGTGAGAGAGAGTCAGTGTGTGTTTGTGTGTGTGTTTGTGGGTGTGTGTGCGAGAGAGTTGGTGTTTGAGAGTGAATCTAAAGACAGTCGTTTAACTCCCGAGCATCACCACCTCCCGCCTCGGACCAGCGCCCCACTGCCTTCAGAAAAGTGGGGTTTGGCGCGTTCACTGAACCACCACTTGTCAGCAACAAAGCGTCTAAATATGCGGAGCAGATCGATTTGGACCATACGCTTTTGCCGGACACTCACCGAGACTCAGTCACAAGCTGCTGACCCACCGAAGCTTAACTTGATACAGAAGGCTGGCGCTTTACCAAGTTGGAGTGGTGGAGGGAACCAAGTGCCACTCCGGGATTTCAGGATGTTAACAGTCTCCCGGAGAGTTACGTTCGCTAGCCCTAGTTGTAATTAGGTCCACCAAGATCTGCCTGAAAGGGTTGCTAAAAAACACGGCAGTAATGAGAATGTATGTTCAGAAAGCCAAACATCATAGTCTCTCAGATGAAAATAAACAAAAATACATGTTTTATTAACCCTAATTTTGACCCCAGCTGTATATTTTTGATGTATTTCAGAGGTGGTTTATTACAGTACGTGGCCTAATATCTGTGCACTTCCAGATAAGGGTAATTCCACCATCACAGAGTGATGCTGAGACTCAGATTTTTCACTTTCAAATGTATGTCAAACAAAAACCAATGATTGCAAAGTAAACCATACTTGAAGAACAGTGCAGATGCAAAGTTTGATAACAGAATGATGGTTTGTGCTGTTGGTGCCATCATTCTGTTACCAAACTTTGCATCTGCACTGTTCTTAAAATAAATGTGTATTTGTAAAATGTTCAGTGGAAATTGTTAAAAGTTGTCCTTATGCATAGAGTTGATTTGTTTAACTTTGCAGTCATTAGTTTTTGTTTGGCATACATTTTAAAGTGATACCTCAGTCTCAGCATCACTCTCTTACGGTGGAATTGCCCATAACATATTTAGGTTTGGATACATCCCTATGGCCTAACTATGTTGATCCTTTTCCGCCCCAGTATTAGCTAGTTATTGCTTATACATGACGCCATGCTAACAAGAAATAATGACCATCTCTAGTAGTAGCTAGAATCTAGCTAGATTAAGATGCCTATTTTTTTTATGTGAAAGCTCTGGTCTCTCCACAAGCCATTACTGCAAAGGTTTCACTTAGTGGACTCCCTTGAGCTCTCCTTTTACTTATAATTCAGCATTAACTAGGGTTGGGCTGCATACCTTATATACCGTATATCGGGGTATTTGGAAATATCCACGGGATGGTTTTTCAATACCGTTGAAACTATTTATTATACGTTTTTTTTAAAATAAATGTCAATATTTTTTGCTACTTTTTAAGTAAATACCAGCAGTCAACTTGTGCAATACGTTAGGAGATTAAGCAGATCGCGCTCTTCATTTCACATGCCACATAATTTTTCATTATGAAGCTTGCCGGTATTCCCCAGTCACATGTTGTTTGTTTACAAGCACACAACGACAAGAGACCGGAGCCTTGTGAGTCACTCACTGTTGTGCAGCACACACCAAGTGATCTAGCTAGTAACAGTATGGAATTCACAACTGGCACACGTTAGTGAATGCTAACCTCCCCTGTTATTGTAATGGTGAGAGGCTAGCATGTCTTGGGGGTATGATATCTGTGCGTCTCACTCATCATTATCCACGATTAATTCAGGACAATCCATAATGTTGGTAGCATCCACATGAATGCAGAAGTGTTTAGAAACATATTCTATTCTTATTTACAATAAAATTACTCCAAAATGACACACTACATTATTTACTAACAGCAAATGCATCCAACACATTTATAGAGTCACAAGTTTGATGAAATCATTGTGTGCTAGAAATATGGGACCAAATACTAAACTTTTGACTACTTTCATACACATATAAGTGAATTTGTCCCAATACTTTTGGTCCCCTAAAATGCTGTAATTTCTAAACGGTTCACCAGATATGGATGACAATTAACGCTGACAGTCTGCACTTTAACCTCATAGTCACTGTATAGTTTCAAGCCAATACAACAAAAAATGTGTCACTGTCCCAATACTTTTGGAGCTCACTGTACACTACCAGTCAAAAGTTTGGACACACCTACTAATTAAAGGGTATTTATTTTTAATTTATTTTTACAATTGTTTACATTGTAGAATTATAGTGAAGACATCAAAACTATGAAATAACACATATGGAATCATGTAGTAACCAAAAAAGTGTCAAACAAATCTAAATATCTGTTATATTTGAGATTCTTCAAATAGACACCTTTTGCCTTTACGACCGCTTTGCACACTCTTGGCATTCTATCAACCAGCTTCATGAGGTAGTCACCTGGAATGCATTTCAATTAACAGGTGTGCCTTGTTAAAAGTTAATTTGTGGAATTTCTTTCCTTATTAATGCGTTTGAGCAATCAGTTGTGTTGTGACAAGGTAGGGGTGGTATACAGAAGATAGCCCTATTTGGTAAAAGACCAAGTCCATATTATGGCAAGAACAGCTCAAATAAGCAAAGAGAAGGTCAGTCAATACGGAAAATATCAAGAACTTTGAAAGTTTCTTGAAGTGCAGTCACAAAACCATCAAGCTGTATGATGAAACTGGCTCTCACGAGGACCGCCACAGGAATGGAAGACCCAGAGTTACCTCTGCTGCAGAGGATAAGTTCATTTAGAGTTACCAGCCTCAGAAATTGCAACCCAAATAAATTCTTCACAGAGTTCAAGTAACAAACACATCTCAACATCAACTGTTCAGAGGGGACTGTGTGAATCAGGCCTTCATGGTCGAATTGCTGCAAAGAAACCACTACTAAAGGACACCAATAATAAGAAGAGACTTGCTTGGGCCAAGAAACACGAGCAATGGACATTAGACCGGTGGAGATTTGTCCTTTGGTCTGGAGTCCAAATGTGAGAATTTTGGTTCCAACCACCGTGTCTTTGTGAGACGCGGTGTGGGTGAACGGAAGATCTCTGCATGTGTAGTTCCCACCGTAAAGCACAGAGGAGGAGGTGTTATGGTGTGGGGTGTTTTGCTGGTGACACTGTCTGTGATTTATTTAGAATTCAAGGCACACTTAACCAACATGGCTACCACAGCATTCTGTAGCGATACGCCATCCCAACTGGTTTTGGGCTTAGTGGGACTATCATTTGTTTTTCAACAGGACAATGACCCAACACACCTCCAGGCTATGTAAGGGCTATTTTATCAAGAACGAGAGTGATGGAGTGCTGCATCAGATGACCTGGCCTCCACAATCCCCCGACCTCAACCCAATTGAGATGGTTTGGGATGAGTCGGACGGCAGAGTGAAGGAAAAGCAGCCAACAAGTGCTCAGCATATGTGGGAACTCCTTCAAGACTGTTGGAAAAGCATTCCAGGTGAAGCTGTTTGAGAGAATGCCAAGAGTGTGCAAAGCTGTCATCAAGGCAAAGGGTGGCTATTTGAAGAATCTCACATATAAAATATATTTTGATTTGTTTAACACTTTTTTGGTTACTACATGATTCCATATGTGTTATTTCATAGTTTTGATGTCTTCACTATTATTCTACAATGTAAAAAAGAAAAACCCTTGAATGAGTAGGTGTGTCCAAACTTTTGACTGGTACTGTATACACACACTCACTCAAATACACTACACTGACACTCTCACACCAAACTTACACACATTCACATATGCACACACACACATTGCCCTATATGCACTAGATTGAACTTCCCAGGTGTGATAGGTAGGCGGACTCCCACCCTTTAGGTCGAATGGAAAGCACAAACCCCGCCCACTCTGGACAGATCAAACTCAATCAAGCACACCTACTGATAGCTTTTCATGCTAAGTAACTCCCTTAGCCTCAGCCAAGATCGATCCATTGTGGGTGTTCCCAACAACTCCCCCAAACCAATATGCAGTCAGTGCACCTCACAGCACAAAACAGGAGTCCAGGGCATTAAACATCACAATATACAAAGGCTTTGAAGGCTGTTAGATTTGCCAGGCAAAACCATCCGGGGGCATTGGGGAGCTGCGAATCAATGCCAAGGATATGTTGTTGTGCATAAGGCCTTTTTAAATACCCTATCCCTTGGAACCTTCTGATAACGCGGCTTACAAGAGCCCTTGATTGTGATCTTAGGGCGCATAGAGTCTCTAGTCAATGTTTTTGCCGACTATTATTGAGGTCTTGGACTTCAATTCCGGTCCAATCTTTTGTGCTGTTATGTCTATTTCGCTTGGTGGTGAGCCGACAGGGCTGAACGTTTTGTTGGCTGTATTGTATGTCATGTTTTTACATTTCTGTCTGTGAATGGACAATGGCCAGTAAGAGTCTGTCGGTAGACCTTGCAGTGTTCATGTGGATGATTTAATATACATGAATTAAAATGTATTTTTTATTTTCATATTGGAAGATGGTTAGACAAGGACATTAATAACCCATACATAACACATTCATAACCCATACATGATACATTCATAACCCATACATAACCCATTCATAGCAGTGCATAATATTATTTTTTTACATGCTTATGTCAACCATAGCAAGCTGATGTATTCATTATGTCACAGTACTGCAATGATACGTTTGTGGTGGTAGACATGAGCATTTCATCAATGTTTATGTTGCATATGTGTTATATTGAGTTGATTTACTGTCCATTATAAACATAGGGGTACAGTGGGAGGTCCTTTCATATTCTACAGTTCTCTAATATTTATTAACATCCAGGTATTCCCACAATAAACCCTGCAGGGCATAACAAACGACTTTCTTTAGGAGCTCACATTCATTAAAATAATTGACTAAACTTCACACCATTCTGCTAGTAAGCAAACTCTTTAATGTGATGTTCTTCCTTAGCAGGTATACATCTTGCACTGCCTTGTTTTTTGTCAATTTGCTATTAATTGTACAGTAAGCCTAATGGAAATAGCAACAAGATTAGTTGGCATGTAATTTGGGCGGAGTGGTGGGTTCAACAAATAAATATGAAACCTTTTTTTTGGTTGTCTCGCCTATTAGCGACAACTTTATTTTCCTCTGTTTATGAATGGAGTTCCAGTGAACCAAAAAGCAAACTATTTTGAAGTATGCAAGCAAAAGTCCAACAAAGTATACAGCTCATAACTCAACACACAATAGTTACTTTTCACATCATTTCACAGTATTTGGAAAAATATGCATAGTGTACCCATAATGGGAGGCAAGCTAAAAACAAAACAACAAAAGTCAACTGCAAATTTGTATTTTGCTCAATGTGTTGATACATGATATTGGTTTACAAGCAAAGCCAGCCCATTTTTCTTGATCACTTTTTCAAAAAAACTTCAGGATTAGTCATTTTTAGACAAAATAAAGCTGAAGGCAAAATTGTCATATTGACCTTCATATATCAAGCACTCTGTTTTATACTACTGTAGATGTGCTAAATTCACTGATCTGTCCTATTGTACACATTTGTAGAGTAGGGACATTTATCATAGGGACTAGGGATGTCCCACAATGTACACCTACTAATGATACGTTCTCATAGCACTTCATTGTATTCATAGTTGCTTGCACTGACACAGTACTCTACCAGGATTCAACCAACAACATAATTTTATTTTCCTTTCTCCTCTTTCTCCCATAGATCAAATTATAGTTTTTGTTTTAATGTGTTATCTTTGAATTCATTTCGCTTCCTGTGGGTGTGCTTTTTTTTATTCGACAGTGCTCTTGTTGGGATAAAAAGCTCCATGGGAAGAATTCCTGGGGATTTTGTGTTGGAAGTTGGAACATTCTAGAATCTCCCAAAGTCAATTTTTAAAGGGTATTTATTTATCAAAAGATAAAGTAAATGGCAATGGACCATGCAGTCCCTCCTATCTCATTATAACCCAATGCAGCACCTAGTTCACGTCAACCATCAGTCCCTTTGATGACAAAGTCCCCAGCCCTAGCTTCCCAAATGGACTATACAATCTCTGGATCAATGCTTTTCTTCACAGTGCTGAAAATATGCTCCATCACTCTCTAACAGCGAATTTCTGTCCACATGAAGAGACAGCGGGGGCGTTTAAAATTGCATAAAAGAAGATGGATGATACCAAGATTGAAGTGCATGTCAGAATTAATCAGACAGCATTCAGATTTAATTGAGCCTTGTCGGCCCCGCACATTCTCCCTCCAGACTTTAAAGAGACAATTCTAATGTGTCATTATCACTCCTCTCTGGATTTGTTATGTATAATATAGTATTTTTAATGATTAATATGCCCATTGAAATCTACTACTGTAAAGCATAGGGCAGACAATTTCAACTCAGCATGCACAGATTGCTCATCTGAGTCGATAAGAAAATGGCCACTGAAATGTCTAGACCGTATCCACCGCGCTCTTCTCAAACCAATCTAAAGGTATTTTCTTTGAGGAACTGAGATATTGTAGCTAAAAGATTCACACACCCCTCTGTCAAATCTATTTAGTCCATTCAGAGTATAATAATAGGAGAGGTGGTGCAAATGGAAGGTCCTGTCACTGTTAAGATATTCATCACAAAATGTGCACCTATTCAATATTCAAATGTGCACCTATTCAATAGACCTAGTACTTCTCTCGACAATCTTAAATGTAATTCTACCCTCCACAATTGTAAATATAACTGTAGTCTTGGTGAAGGTTTGCATTATTTCTAATCTAGCACCACTATGCAGTGTGAATCAGGATGCATGTGCAAATTGATTCAAGGCTGTAGGTGTAATGTGCACCATTACTTAATTAATTAATTAATTAATAAGCATAAAATAACTTTTACAATTTTTTGGTGTCGACCCTCTACAGTGCATATAATTGTTTTGTGTGCCACAAAAACTTGTGAACAAGTTTACTAACATTCAAAATGTCTTCTCTCTGTCTAGATTTGGAATCGTCCTCCACAGAAATGAACCGGCACTCCACAAGATCGACCTGGAGACCACGTCGTCAGTGAAGAACATCAGCCTGCGCGAGTACAACTGTATCCCCAAGTCTCTGGCTTACTCCCACCTGGGCGGCTACTACTTCGTCAACTGCAGGCCCGATTCCACAGACGCCACTCAGCCCCAACTCATCGTGGACAGTGTGACGGACTCCGTGATTGGACCCAACAGGGACGTCACTGGCACCCCGTATGTGTCCCCAGACGGTCACTACCTGGTCACGGTGGACGACCACGATGGCCTGATGAGGATCCAGCAGATCACGGTGCGTGGGGAGATTGGGGAGCCTTTCGACATCCACACCAACCTCCACCTGTCTGACGTGGCCTTCCAGCCATCGTTCACCGAGGTCCACCAGTACAACGTCTTCGGTAGTTCGGGACACCAAACGGACTCTCTCTACGTCGAGCTGAGCACAGGCAATGTGAAGATGATCAAGAGCCTGAAGGAGGCCACCAAGACTTCCGATTGGCCGTGGAGTAGTAGGAACCGTGTGATGACCGGCAGTGGAATTTTCGGACAGTACCTCATGACCCCGTCCAGTGAGTCTATCTTCATCCTGGATGGTCGTCTCAACAAGCTCAACTGCGAGATCACCGATGTCGTCAAAGGCAATGTAGTGGCGTGGGTTGGCGAGTCGTAGGCCGGTCTGTGTTCAGACTCGTCCTGTGTTGTTATTATTAAGGTAAAGTTGCACTGAATTTGGTTGCAGATATATAATTTAATGGGTGTGACGATAAAACATTTAGCAACTCTCAACACCAAAATTGACCATATTGGACGTTGGGACCTCATTCCAAAAAATAGGGAGCGATTTGTTGCCGTTGTTCACTAGCCGAGTTCAAATCTTGGCTTTCACCTGGATGGTTCCACATGTAGTCAACATCAAGTTGCTCTCCAAGATCTTCTAGGGGATTTCTGTTAAAATTAGACAAATTAGATGCATATTATACTTTTTTTTTATTGCAAGTCTCGCTAATTCAATTGTCTAGATGTTTTTCGATAATCACATCTACTGGCGTTTTTCAAAAACGAGTGAGAAAAGATGTCTAGACTATCCTCCTTTGTTTCATCTACCCTCTTTCACTCTTTTTGTTCCTGTGCCTTGAAGGAAAACATACTCCAAAAGAGGAATTAACCTAATTATTCCTGTTGCGGCTGCAGATTACATCGTTTTTGTCTTTGACCCTCCTTCATGGTGAGAGATGAGTCTTTTTTGGGGGCTCGGACCGAGGTGGAGCCCATTCTGGGCTAATTAAAACAAGCTCTTGCTGAGATCCCGTCTCATTTGAAGTAGAGACGGAGAGATTGAGTTGTCCATTGTGATGTAGTGGTGCTTGGTCACCGTTGATCTCAAAGAGTCATCAACAGAGCTAATGGTTTGAATGTGATTTCGTCCAACAATCCAAGTCTCAATGACAATGTTAATAAATTGATCAATTTTAATATTTGTGGGATAAATTAAAGTTTCCCACTTTGTGTCACAATGTCAGTGTGGGTATGTAGAAAAACATTCAAATTTGAAGAATATCCCTGGCCCAAAAGGGGTCATAATATCTGGTATATGTACTTGCATATTGTCAGTCCATTTTGGCAATGTGTAGCAAATGGATATTTAATATTACAATGAAAGTAAGAGGGATTTGTTTAGTTGGAAGTGGGCTTTTGTGGTTGTAGAGAATAGAAGGGCTTTGAGCTGTATGAGTGTATATATAGAGAGAGACAGTAGAGAGAGACCTTGGTCTATAAGCTTAAAATACGAGTCACATTTCTTTTAAAATCTTACAAGGCAGAGCATAGTTGGATGAATCAGTTGTACCTATGAAACCTGGCAAGTACGTGGCCTGTTGTGCTTAGGACACAAAATTGTTTCCTCGAAGTACACATTCTATGCATTTTCACCATAGTATTCTAACACAAACACAATGAAGAATATGTTAATCTAGTATTTTTCCATTCTAATGTTGGACCCTTGGTTGTGTTATGGACATTTTATTAATGAAACATTTTATATATTTTGATGTTTTGTTTTATTTGGTCAATTCAATTTCAGTTCATTTAAATATTTTTTTCTTATCACATTCTGTTTGCTGTTGACCCTAGATACCCATAGGACTGTACTGATTACCTCTGACTTTTCTTATTGTGTTCTGTATATAGCAGCAGAGTTGAATGAGTTCCTTAACATGGTAGGTTTCACAACTTTGAGGGCTTTGTTCATTATTTTGAGTGAATACGCACCCTCCTTTTTAAGAAATGAAAAGAGCACCATTGTCATCTCGCTATAGGTGAGGTAAAGGAGTCAATGGAACGCAGACCATTCCATTGACCAGACTGGCACACATTCAACAAATCTGATCGAACAAAGTGGATGTTCGTCAGATCCGTCATGATTTATGTATTGTAACAGGCCCACAATGTGCTTACTTAAGTCAGATTTGGATATATTTGGCTGTTTTCGTTGCATAACATGTAAAAGTTGTCCCTTTTCAGGTTTAGAAGAAGTGACTGCTAAATGCTCAATCATGTTTGTATAACCTGGTTAGCATCGCTAGCATACAGAAATCGTTGATGGTAGTCAATTGTTTTGTTTAACTGTAATGCAGTTGATTGGTAATGATGACATTAACATGTGTAGGGGTTGACAGCCATAGAAGCATTATACTCCGATTTTTACTTCAACATAGTGTGAAATACACATATAAACAATAGCGTAAATGTAGACTAATTTTGTAGGGGGGCAATGAGGAGACTCGTGATCTTTCCCCCATGGCCCTTTCCCCTCCGCATTTCCATGGCAATTCCATTGTTTTGGTCGAGTTCCATTGACCTCTTTACCGCATCTATCCTTGACCAAGTACATTGAGATGTCACCTACTGAAACGTTGTCATTTCCATTATAGCCATGTACTGTTTGTTGATTCATGTGGTCGTTATTTATGTAGAGCATACACGCTTGACATTTTACCTGAAAATAAAGTCTATACCTTCGAAAATACCATATAAAATGCCAGAATCTCCTTTGTCGAAAATGTGTTTCAAACATGGTTTCAGCCCAACTACCAATGCCCTTGAAAAAACAGGTTCAACACAGTTCAGCTTATTCAGTTCTGTTGCTCACAATGACACATTCAGCGAATATGAACATACAGTATCTTTCTCAAATATCTATTTGAAAGAGCTGTGGAAAAGTAATTTCATATGAATGACCCTTATATTGATTCAGCAGTTTTTGTCACTCTTATTAAACTAATTCCACACCCAATCTTGTCTGCTTGAGATTAAGGGAGACCCACACAATGTGTGTGCTCATACATAACTTATTGATGGGCACTTCACGTAACCATGATTTTATAAAAAATGCAATCATCATTAGAAAATGCAATAGCTGAGGACCTAGGAGAATAGAAGGGCTTTGAGCTGAAATTAATTTTTGCATTCTCCCTAGCTCTTAAACAGGGGCTGAACTTCCTGATTTGACCTTGTTTTTTCAGATTGGTCATTAAGAAATGCAGAGGCCATGACTGAAGCCAAACAAGAGTTGTCTTGGAGGGGTGGGTTAATGTGGGTGTCTTGTGTGTGTGTGTGTTTGCACGTGGTAAGCATTTGCACATTCACTCTGCCAAAACAATACACAGTTACAGTCACTCACCCTTCTAGATAACTTGAAACATTCTAACCACGTCCTCCATGCTTCACGGTGGGAACCACACATGTGGAGATCATCCGTTCACCTACTCTGCGTCTCACAAAGACATCTCAAATTTAGACTCATCAGACCAAAGGACAGATTTCCACCGGTCTAATGTCCATTGCTCGTGTTTCTTGGCCCAAGCAAGTCTCTTCTTCTTATTGGTGTCCTTTAGTTGTGGTTTCTTTGCAGCAATTCGACCATGAAGGCCTGATTCACACAGTCCCCTCTGAACAGTTGATGTTGAGATGTGTCTGTTAATTGAACTCTGAAGCATTTATTTGGGCTGCAATTTCTGAGGCTGGTAACTCTAATGAACTTATCCTCTGCAGCAGAGGTAACTCTGGGTCTTCCTTTCCTATGGCAGTCCTCATGAGAGCCAGTTTCATCATAGCTCTTGATGGTTTTGTGACTGCACTTGAAGGTCTTGACATTTTCCGTATTGACTGACCTTCATGTCTTAAAGTAATGATGGACTGTTGTTTCTCTTTGATTATTTGACCTGTTCTTGCCATAATATGGACTTGGTCTTTTACCAAATAGGGCTATCTTCTGTATACCACACAAACTATAGTTTTGGCAAGTTGGTTAGGACATCTACTTTGTGCATGACACAAGTAATTTTTCCAACAATTGTTTATAGACATATTATTTCACTTATAATTCACTGTATCACAATTCCAGTGGGTCAGAAGTTTACATACACTAAGTTGACTGTGCCTTTAAACAGCTTGGAAAATTCCAGAAAATGATGTCATGGCTTTAGAAGCTTCTGAAAGGCTAATTGACATAATTTGAGTCAATTGGAGGTGTACCTGTGATGGATTTCAAGGCCTACCTTCAAACTCACTGCCCTCTTTGCTTGACATCATGGGAAAATCAAAAGAAATCAGCCAAGACCTTAGAAAACAAATTGTAGACCTCCACAAGTCTGGTTCATCCTTGGGAGCAATTTCCAAACGCCTGAAGGTACCACGTTCATCTGTACAAACAATAGTACGCAAGTATAAACACCATGGGACCATGCAGCTGCCATACCGCTCAGGAAGGAGACGCGTTCTGTCTCCTAGAGATGAACGTACTTTGGTGTGAAAAGTGCAACTCAATCCCAGAACAACAGCAAAGGACCTTGTGAAGATGCTGGAGGAAACAGGTACAAAAGTACCTATATCCACAGTAAAACGAGTCCTATATCGACATAACCTGAAAGGCCACTCAGCAAGGAAGAAGCCACTGCTCCAAAACCGCCATAAAAAAGCCAGACTACGGTTTGCAACTGCACATATGGACAAAGATCGTACTTTTTGGAGAAATGTCCTTGGTTTGATGAAACAAAAATAGAACTGTTTGGCCATAATGACCATCGTTATGTTTGGAGGAAAAAGGGGGTTGCTTGCAAGCCGAAGAACACCATCCCAAGTGTGAATCACTGGGGTGGCAGAATCATGCTGTGGGGGTGCTTTGCTGCAGGAGGGACTGGTGCACTTCACAAAATAGATGGCATCATGACGAAGGAAAATTATGTGGATATATTGAAACAACATCTCAAGACATCAGTTAGGAAGTTAAAGCTTGGTCGCAAATGGGTCTACCAAATGGACAATGACACCAAGCATACTTCCAAAGTTGTGGCAAAATGGCTTAAGGACAACAAAGTCAAGGTATTGGAGTGGCCATCACAAAGATCTGACCTCAAATCTATAGGAAATTTGTGGGCAGAACTGAAAAAGCGTGTGCGAGCAAGGAGGCCTACAAACCTGACTCAGTTACACCAGCTCTGTCAGGAGTAATGGGCCAAAATTCACCCAACTTATTGTGGGAAGCTTGTGGAAGGCTACCCGAAACGTTTGACCCAAGTTAAACAATTTAAAGGCAATGCTTCCAAATACTAATTGAGTGTATGTAAACTTCTGACCCACTGGAAATGTGATGACAGAAATAAAAGCTGA